ACGCTACGTGGACTTTACTGCTGTAGAATAGCAACGCGTATTTTTAGTCACACAAATTACACTTTCAACCGACACAACGGCCTGTTACCTATAAGGAATGATTTACCTGGCATGTTCTTATCATATCACACAATTATAACTTCCAGTGTGCACCGCGTCCTCAAGCTCTTAAAACGCGTGTCAGCTTTGATCAATTCTGGATAAAGTTTGAGATAAAATGGCAAAACATCAATGTCGGCATTCCCCGTAGATCATTTCTCCCATTTTCGGCTTTCCCCGCAGTCCGGGGCAACGCCGAAAAAGTCACTTCTTTGATATTTTTAGTTTGTGCGCTTAACGGTATGCGAATTCATCAAATGCGCCTGGTATGTTTGAAAGGCAAAAGACTGGCCTCTCGAATGACGCCAACAAGAATAGCTTATGTTGTCTACCTTGCGTGCTACGGGCGTCAGAAAAAAAGTCTTCGGCGTTCCCCCAACTTCCCCTACCTCTTTTTTGAGAAGTGCAGGCCCGCGAAATTTCCAACCCCCACGTCAGCGACGCTCCTGGATTTAAAATGATCGATCTGGAGCGTCAACAAACGACTGGCCCTATGCCGGCCTGTATCTGTAAAACTATTAGAGATCGCGAGGATTCGATCCCACACACTTAGTCGTTAGTGTCTTCTGAAACCAACGCTCTCGTCCTACGCCAAGCGACCTGATGGTTCTCCCGATGTGGAGCTTGATATTTTTAACTGGGACCATGCAAGTAGGTACTCAAAGCTGTTGCCACAGAGCAAAATTAATCGTGTTTTGTTAATTATTGCTTTAACCCGCGCCGTGCTGGTGGCCTGAACTTTCCGCCGAGTGCTGGGGGGGGGGGGGGCGTTTTCACGCCCCCCCCCCGTCTAACTCGGCTCCTGGGCCACGTAGCGACACGCGGTAAGCGGCAATCGAAAGAGCGTCAAAAATAAGGACGAAAACACTTCGGTCATTTTTTGGGTCAGGTCAAAGGTCAGGTCACCAGAGGTCACCAAAGGTAAAATGTTGACTATTTCAACATTTTGGAAACTGCCAACGGCTATCTCGGGAACCGATAGAGCTACAGCGCCGCGGAAAAGCGCATTCGATAGCCCTTTTACAGACCTTTCTGAGTAATGTTCTCAGATTTGACCTCAGGTCAACGGTTTAGCCTCCAGAGGGCAAAAACTCCAAAAATAGCCGTTTTTACGAAAAACGTTTTTTCGTCAATAACTTTTGACTCATAAGCGCCATGACATTACTTTTGCCAGCATCGTGTTCCTCTCGTCGAGACGCGTCGAATGAACTATTTGTTGACCTTGAAAGGTCATTTTGAAAATTTGACCTCAGGTCAAGGTCATGACCTGACCGAAAAGGGTCATGTTGCATATCAGTCGATCCGTATCGTCGAGCTGAACACATCTGACGTGTTTTCACCGCTCTAGCACGTCTCTATCAAAAGTTATAGCCAAAAAACTGCTGGCGACCGTTCATGACCTGAGATGACCTCAGGGGCACACAGAGGGGTCACAGGTGCATTTTTCCTATTCAGTGTGTCATGTTTACCTATGAACCGATGTTTGAGAGCGTTTTGAACGATATTCGTCCAAAAGAGGCGCATTTCAATTTTCTCCCATTGACTTATAATGGAGAGGTCGCAAAATTGACCTGACCTTAGGTCACAGATATCAAAAATCCGAGATATACATTTTATACATACTGTTACTCATATCAATCGCTGAAAGTTTCAAAGTGATCGTTCAGTCGGTGTAGCTATAGCGAGCCTTTGAACTTTTTCTGAGGTAAGGTCACTTGACGTGACCTGGTGACCTGACCTTGAACGGCCTAGGTCTGAAATTTTCACAACATGTGCGGAAATGATGTAGGAACACGTGTACCAAAAACGGCGGCGCGGCGCGCCGCCGTTTTTGAGATATTCGCGAAAAACCTGAGGGGGGGGGGCGTAAAAACGCCCCCCCCCCCAGCACGGCGCGGGTTAATATTCATTGTGATCAGAGAGCTTTTTTATCCAAAGAAAAGTTAGGAATAAAACCTAAAGAAAACCTTGCGGCGCGAGTTATTGGCGAAAAACAGGAGGGGTGGGCGGAATCCGCCCCCCCTTCCACTGCGCGTGTTAAAATGTGAGGATGAGAGAGAAGGAATGGGAAATTATAATTAAATTCGAACGTGTTTTTAATGTCCAAATACATAATGCAGTTTTGTCCGTAATGGCACAATCAAACAAAGACTACACTCATTCGTTTACATGTAATTGTTACATCAACCAGGCCTGCCTATTGACTAGGGCCGGTCTCCAGCTGGTTTTGTTAGGTCTAGTTTCAAGCAGAACATGAACGGCGTTGATGTAGGTACTTGGGAGTTTTTACAGCGTTAACTAAACGATGCTTTATGCTACAGCCGAGTCTGCAACTCAACCTGGTCGTTACTCAGCATTGTCGTTACCACAGAGCTTCAAATCGATCAGCTACAGGCTGAACACGTACCTATAGGGTATAGGAAGACGTCCAAAAACTGTTGGCCATAGTATCTGTGTGGGATCTACGTTCCATGCTGGTCAGGCATTTTGCAAAATGCCTAGTCATTTTGTAAAATGGCTAGCCATTTTGAAAAAAGCCTGGTTGCGTTCAGTCATTTTTCAAACAGCCGTCTTTTTGTAAAATGCCTAGGCATTTTACAAAATGACTGATTTTCTAAAGTGCCTGCAACATAGACATTGCATGCAAAATAGTGTGTTTCTGAGTGAAAGATGAATGTTTGACCAGTTTTCAAACAGTACTTTTTACCGTACCCATTTTTAGCAGATTCGTACCCATTTTTAGCAGAATTCTGCTAAAAATAGCAGACTGCTAAAAATGGCAGATTTTACCATAGTTTCCCCGACTGAACTGTTCCGTCTGGTAGGTATGTGTAACGGTCAAAGCAACTCTTTTTTTCAAAGGTCAAAGCAGCTCGAGTAGGTAGTAGGGATGCCATCGCTAACGGCTGTTGCGGATGACAATAACGTATCATATGACCAGCATGGGATGGGTGACTGCTGGCAGCCTTCCCGAGTGCATCCGTGCATGATAAGCAATCAGTGTCTTGCAGCTTACACTCTTGCCTATACCGTCGCCTATACCCTTGCTTGCCATTGCTGCAATCAAATGTCCCTCTGACGTTCGACAGTGTACATACAGGCTACCCCGAGTCATCCATCCGGCATGACTCACGAGAGGGCCAGGGACTGGGAGACGGGGGTGACCCGCCACCCGTCCAACGGAAGCACACTGCATATTGTATACAGACACCACGAACGGGACTCTCATCTGAGAGGGGGTATCATTTGATACGCACGGGTCTACCACACAACAGTGTACAAATAAACCACTGCACACTTAGTCCCGTCCCGTACCGTACCGCGTCTCGCTGCCATTGAGCATCGCCACAAACATCTCACGGCGTCAGTTGATGAACACGAAGGCCAAGCAACTCCACCAACGATTAGAAGCATGATGTCATCAGAACTCGACACTCGCCGGCCGCCCCATGCTGATTCGCCAGGGCGCTATCGCCGCGCCACGCGGCCGCAGCGGACGGCCACTCCTGGTCGAGCCGAGCCGCACGCCGGGTGCCGGGAGGCGAGCTCCAGCCATGCCGTCGACTGGGGAGAGCCGCGGCTCGCTGATGGTGGATTGGTGGTTCTGGCCGGTGGTGGTGGCTGTGCCTGTGTGCGCCATATGGATCTTTAATTACGGCCTGTGGCTCGCGTTCACTCAAGTGTGCCTGTGCGGTCTCTGCCTGACCGGCGCTCGCCTCCTTGTCTCGACCGGCGCTCGCCTCCTTGTCTCGAAGGGTGGCGAGTGGAAAGTGTGGCAGTGTTTGGGCCTCCCGACGGGCGCCGGGAGCCACGGCCTCCAAGAGCTTGACAAGCACACTTTCCTGGCGCTTCTGGGGATCGTTATTGTTCAGCTTGTGGTGTCGTCGGAGGTGCTATGGCTGATGCTCAGCCACTGGTTCCTGGTGCTGATCGCCCCGATACTGGCAGTGACTCTTAACTATGTCGGCACGCCGAAGGTTCTGCTGGAAGAGGTTTTGGAAAGCTCGCAAATCAGCTATGCCCAGGGCGCTGCTTGGGCCTTCTACATGGGCTATCTGACGAAGACACTGGACTACGACAACAGATCGGAGGCTAGCTTCAAAGAGCGCATGAATGACTATTTGACGAGCAATGAGCTGCAGGATGATACTCGAGCTTACACATCGAAAAATCGAATGCTGATAGTGGTGCCCATGAAGCGGGAAGCGTTGTTGAGTGATAGGGGACTCACGGATCACGATCGCCATGGCCTTCTTACTCCGGAGAAGGTAAGCAATAAACATAGCATAAGCAATTAGCACCTTGTACTTTGTAGGTAGGAAGCATCTTCCTACATGGGTGGTACTGGTAGGGATTCGTGAAAATGGACTTACTGTTGACGTCACACCCCTTGAGACCCTACTTTTTTCGCGATCATTTTTGAATGAGTGGAAGAATTTCAACCGACTTTAGAAAACGGCCGCTTCAGGACCTGCCGAAGCTTTTACAATTAAGATATTTTGTTGTCATTTCAATCACTGAACAACAAAATTTGACTTTTGTCATAGTACAGAAAGCAGAATACCCATTTCTGTGGTAATTTGTGACGCTGAACACGAATCTGGCATCAGAAATGGCGTATCAGGCTAGGTTTTTGAGATCCAGTATGTCTGTGTATCTGCTCTGAATGGTTATTTTCAACATTTCCCTCTTCCTTTATATGACATTGCCGGTGACTCCGAAGGAAAAAGCTCTGTGTCTGGGGCAATTTAGGGTGCAAAATACGAATCTGGCACTAGAAATGGGGTATCGTGTTAGGTTTTGGAATTACAGTATGTTTGCGTCCTTTTCTTAGGTGCATGTACTCAGCTTGTTATTCTGTCTTTATATTACATGGCTAGTGATCCAATTTACTTTCGACAATCAAAATATTGGTGATATTTTGATTGAGAGGTTCCATCAGGACATCGCCGTGATGGAGAGCAGATATCAGGGCAAGTCTGGTCCCAATATGATGGGTGATTACTGCTGGACACTGCAGAGAGAGGAACGTCAGCAGGGGAGGAGACAAAGCAAGAATCAGAAGCGATTCTAACAAGAAGAGTTGCTGAGCGAGAGGAAGATGCCAAAGTGTTTGAAATGACCAAAAATCTTGCCTGTGTGGTCGAGAGGTAGCACAGATGGATTACCATACCGTTGGTTGATTGCACTTTGCCGTGATTGTACAATATGTGATTACCTACATTGCGCTGTGATGTGTGATATACATTTCTGTTCCAACAAATTCAATAGTTTTGTGCTCATCTGTGTTGCCTGGCTGTGGTAAATATGGATTAAAAAGATATATAATCTAGATCTAAGGATATCTACAATAGGCCAACAACAATGCATAAAAAGTGAGAATTTAAGGCATCAGTATGTACCAGACAAAAAACTGAGCCCGATGGGGCTAAACGGTGACCAGATTTGGAATCAGCGGCCTCGAATTAGGTAGAAACGAATGCTCACCTCTCTGTACATTTTTGGCTGTTGATCAGTGGTTCAGGCACCTCTCAGTTCTCATTAACCCGCACCCCACTGGGGTCTGCGTATAATGATAGCCCCGGAAAAACTGTCGATCGGAACCTAATTTCATTGACCTCGAGGTCACCGATGACGTCACAGGTCAGGTCAAAGTAAAAATTATCGACAATTTGCTCGTTCACATTTTGGACTCTGGTCACCGTCCTACAAGTCAGATCGGGCTCATTTTCGGTTTACATACTCGTGAGTAGATGCTTTAGATACCCTAAGGGTACCAAACTTGAACTTTGATTTTCAGGTCAGGGTCAGGTCATCACAGGTCACGGAAATCTAATGTCTTGCATCGGTCACGTGACACATGTTTTATGGTTCATTTAGGCCATAGATTTCGAATTCGATGTTGTTTATGTCATTCGAGGTCATTTTGAGTTGAATTTAGCTTAGGTTAGACCATTTTTAGGTAAAAAAGATTAAATTTTAAAGTTGAAAATTTTTAAGAAAAAAGTGTCTATCGTATGCAGTTGGGGCTTAGGAACACGATGGTGCTATTTATATTGGTGTACGATGTCAAATACGCACACAAAAAAAAATATTAACACCGTTAGCGGTGTAATTGCACAGTACATATCTGAGCACTTTGAGGCAGGTTAATTTAGTCCCTTCCCCGCTTAAATTACTCGCATTGGCTTCTAAATGAGCACCAAGAAGAAGCTAATAGAACACTGTTAGCAGGGTTGGGTGTTTTACTACACCATGATGTAACGTTAACGGTGTTAACTTACCCTGAAGCTTTTTTAAAAGTATGCTATTACCCCTACGTTACCCCATTTACGCGGTTACAAAACACCCTAGAAGACCTTTTCAACAAATAGTACATATCTGAGCAGTTGAAGGAGGTTTTTTTTTACACCCATGGTATATCTACGAAAACACTCATCTACTAAAAATATACTTCTACGATTCTATTAATACAACCTTTTTACTTTTATAAACCATATTATAGCTATCAAAACACGTGCATATTAAAATAATACCGTTGACTAATCTTAATATTTCAGGATACATAACATCCGTAGCTTCCTGCAAATGTCCAAACAAAGTGCCTCAACGAATACAAGACATGTTTATTCGCATGTTTCAAACACTGGTGTCGTAAACCAAGTGTAGCCGCTCCCCGGTGCTCCACCAAAAAAGGACGTGCTCCGCGACTGGCTGTATTGCACAACGCCAACACTCGATATAGGTACTCGCGAACACACGCCTTTGCGTGACAATACTTGCCGTTGCTGCGAAAGAACAACATCGTTCAACGCCATGACACTGAAAACGACAACGAACATCCCTAAAACATCGTTTCTGAATGTTACGTAAATAAATAGCTAAATCGATCGGTCTGGCTCAAACTTTCTAACATTTACCGGGGTTACATGAGCGATCCGTTCCAAATACGCACTACGCTAATGCGCATCAGCTCCCCACAAACGTATCTACGGCACCGGTTACATGAGACTAATTCGTTTTATCTACGTCAAACGGATCTTGTTTGGCTCACCCGGGCTGACTCCTCGACGGCCGGTAATTCGCATCAGAAACGGAATAGGATTAGCGTACAGTCATGGCGCAGTTGCGGCATTTACAGGGACGACCGAACTAAATTTTTATTATTGCACGATATAACATCATTTGATATGCTCAAAAACATTAAAAATAAACATGAAATCAAAAATTGAAAACAAAGATTTCGTGTTTTAAATCACTGAGCACTGATTAGCCATGCAGCGACAGCAGGGTGGTCAGAATAAATTTATCCATCAAAATATTTCATTCATTTTATTTTTGCTATTTACCGAATTCACCTTCAAAGACTAAACAAAAATATCAACAATTTTTTTTTTGCTATTTTCTACGAAGCATTCAATAAAAAATGCTTATTATTTTGCATTTTGACGCTTCCATTCAGCAAAGAATAGTTCTTGTGAAATACGTCCAGTTCCGGTCCGAGTCGTACAAATCGGCTACATGTGCGATCCGTTCCAAATACGTACTACGCTAATTCGCATCAGCTCCCTAGAACTTATTCACGGCACCGACTACATGAGCAAATTCGTTTTAGTGACGTCAAACGGATCTAGTTTGGCTCTCGGCCCGATGCGCATTACAAACGGAATAGCATACAAATGTGGCGCATTTCCGTAGCAATAGAGGTGACTGAATTAAAAATTTATTATCTTATGTCTTTTTTGCATTTAATCTGCTCAGATCATTCTCAATTAACTTAACAAAAAAAGTTGAACATAAAGTTGTCTTGCTTTTGACTCATTGGGCACTTGCCTCTCTTGATTCATCTGTAGTGCTGTCAGAAAAATGTTTCAACTGAAAGTACTTAGATTTTTACTTTTTGGTTTTCACGATATTTATTTTTGAAAACATGACAAAATACCGACATAATTTTTTAATAATTATTTCAAAAGAAGAAAATGAAAAAGGTACCTATAATTTTGCATTTTAATGTTTCTTTTTGGGAAGAAATAGTTCCTGTAATACGTATCTTGGTCCTATTCGCTCCTAAGCCTGTTTCTCAGCGGATTTTGTTCGGACCGCCGATTCGTATTAGCAGGTGGATACATGAGTCGGTAGTACGCTCCTGATTCGCATTAGCGGTGAATCCGATCGTGATACGTATTTGCTTTGCTCATGTAACCGCGGATCGGATCGCCGATTCGTACTAGCAGGTGGCTACATGAGTCGGTAATGCGTTCCTAATTCGAATTAGCGGCTAAATACGTATTTACTGTGCTCATGTAACCCCGATAATTGAAACATCGAACATCAATATCAATCAAAAACTTATCAGTACAGATAGATTCTTACCGGCAATTGCGCCCTCGAATGATATACTGGAACTCCAGCTGCACTCGGTGAAGCGGCTCAACGCTCTCCCGTTCGTCACCTCTCTCGTCACTTATCGAGCGCGCTCTCCCGTGCACTCTCCCGTTCGTTGTGCGCTCACACTCGCTACGGACCGTAGCTCTCCCGCTCACCACTCAGACCAGACCCAGACTGGCCCCTGGCCGCCGCCGCTCTCCCTCACCGCACTGACCCGGTCCATCGCTCCCGGGCACAGACACCACGTGACCTAGCCTGAGGTCACAGACAGAAACTAAACTAGAGCGCGCAAACAAAGAGCCAGACCGAAACCAAAGAGCAGGGCAGGGAAGGATAGGGCACGGTAAAGGAAACGAAAAGAAAGAAAGGAACAAAAACATAATAACGTAGTCGGCGGCTACACTCCCCCCTTGACCGCCAGAAGCGGTCAACTATCGCCGCCGCCGAGGTCTCTCCGACATATGCACACCTACAGGGTCTTTCACAATGAATGCTACTTTTGAAAGAGCTATTTCTCAGGACCTATATGTTCCTCATGAAATATGTATGTACCATCACACTAGGTCACCCTCCCGCGCCTACCGGCGCTAATCGTCGTTTGAACTATTTATATACACTGTGGTTTGAACATCTATATAGAAATCCCTGCCCGTCCTAGGTCACCCTCCCGCGCCTACCGGCGCTAATCGTCGTTTGAACATCTATATAGAAATCCCTGCCCGTCCTAGGTCACCCTCCCGCGCCTACCGGCGCTAATCGTCGTTTGAACATCTATATATAAATTCCTGCCCGTCCCGTCCATAATGCCCGCTTTTCTCTCTTTCTTTCTTTCTCTCTCTCTCTCTCTCTCTCTCTCTCTCTCTCTCTCTCTCTCTCTCTCTCTCTCTCTCTCTCTCTCTCTCTCTCTCTCTCTCTCTCTTTTTCTTTCCCTTGCTCTTTCCCTCCCTGCCTCCATCCCTCTTTCCTCCCTCCTCTCCGCTCTCTGACTTTGTCGATCACTGATCCAATCGTATGCTTACTTACCCCTCCCCATCCGTCTCTCTCCCTCCTCTCCCCGTCTCCTTCATCGCACTTTTTCGCTCCCCCCTCCCTCCCTCCCTCGATTTCCTCCCCTTCCCTCCTCTCCCTCCCTTTCCCTCCTCTCCCCTCCTGCCTCCACTCCAATCCCCTCTTGGTACTGAAAAAAGTACTGGCTAGTGGCTTCTTCCCCGCCAGCGCCGCAGATACATATACGTTTTTATGTCCCAGTTCAAGACGCTATACGTATATTGGTACGCTCGTAATATTAAACATGATTCGCTATTTTTTCAGTATCTTGTGGAATTCTGTAACTAACCTATCCCAAATCTGAGTGACTCGCCCCGACCCTCCCCCGCCTTCCTCCCTCTGCACCCCCCCCCCCCCCCCCCCCCCCCCCCGGGACCCACCACTCACGATCGGTAATGTTTTCAGTGCTAAAGATATAATTATGCCTACTCTGTTTCCGTCTCCGTCTTCCCTCTCTGCCTTTGTCTCTGTATCTGTCTCGTCTCGGATTCCATCCCCATCTCCGTCCCAGTTCCCGTCCCAGCTTCCATTCCCGCTCCCGCTCCCGCTCTCTTTCTCCGTCCCCGTGTTCATCCCCCTCCCGCTGACCGCTTCATCTCCGTCTCTCTCTGCCTCTTACCGGGGTTACATGAGCAAGTAAATGCGTATCAGGAACGGATTTTCCTATTCGCTCACCATTGTAGTCCGTTTGTAATGCGTATTAACTCTGCTCATGTAACCCCGAGCTCTGTCTCCGTCTCGTCTCTGTCTCTGTCTCTGTCTCTGTATATGTCTGGTCTCCGATTCCGTCGCCGTCTCCGTCCCCGTTCCCGCGCTCCCGCTCCCGCTCTCTTTGTCTCCGTCTCCGTCCCCGCTCCTGCTGGCCGCTACATCTCCGTCTCCGTCTTCGTCTCCGTCCTGTCCCCGTGCCTTTCCTTGTGCCCTTCCCCGTCCCCACTAAACATAATTGATAATCTTGTCAGTATTTTGTGGAATTCTGTAACCAACCTATCCCAAATCTGGGTACCTCCCCCCCTCCCCCCCCCCCGCCCGCCACTCAGGATCGGTAATGTAGTTATTCGTAGCGGCCAAGTGCTGCAACTAAGCTGTAAGTGCATTTTAAAAACATCTTTCGGCTCCATCCTCTATACTTGTTCTCTCACCGACTCAATCATTTGCTCACTTACCCTTCCTTCCCTCCCTCCATCATTTCTTCATCCATCCATCCACTATTTACCTATCCCCCCTTCCCATGTCTGTATCATGCCGCATTCCCGCTGTCCGGCAGCGGCCGCTCTGACGGCACCGCAGTTACCGCACCAACCCACACTGGTCGGAAACGCCCTCACGAGAGGCCACGGGCGATTCCGGAGTTTCGGATTATTTTTTATATAGATCGATTTGAAATTGATCAAATTATTATAATTATGCCAAAAAAACTAATCCGAGTGACCAAAAATAACTGTAATCAGCCCCCGAAGATGGGGTATCCCAGAACTCGGAAACTGACGCGGAGCAAGAGGTTTCTTGAGCCGGATATTCAGAGTCTTATTGCTGATAGACACCAAATTGAAATCCCACATATTATGCATCAAAATGTTTGTTATGAAGTTGCCGACTGGTCAGTGCAATTTTTTTGGTATACTTTTTCCCCAACTAAGATCTACTGTAGCTTTTTTATGAGGGCTCTCCTAGAGTGATTCTGGAATGTTACTGCAAAGTTTAGGTAAGGAAACAACAGGTAGTCCCATCTAGTCCCACTCTGATTTTTTGTGAGTTGAAGCAGGATTTAAATTTACACCAGGGCAACATAAAAGCTAACTGCGCATATTTGCGCAAAATTTGCAGGAGCCGCTATTCCTACCCAACTACCGCCCGCCCCGCCCCAGTTTCGGCTCGGCCGCCGCGCCCGGCTTACGCTGACCTGTGTGGCCTGCACGCATCCATGCGTAGTTGACTGGTCATTAAAAACAGACGCGCTTGAGTTTATGAATTTTGTGGAAAGCGCATACAATATGGTTTTATTATTGCATTTATGTATGTATTGACATCAAAAGCCTTCCACATTGATTGCGTGGCGATTACGGCTTGCATTTAGAGAGCCTTGCTATTAGTAACCATCACTCGGCTGAAGAAAGTGGAAATTGAGACCTTCGTGAATATAAGACGCTGCGAATATAGGACACCTGTCACTGGCGTCAGGTTACCTTGGGCCGTCTTTTTACATTAGATCACAATTCCGGTATTTAGCCCTGGCCGGACCGATTGGTTTTCTATATTGACCGGGGAGGGTTGATACAACTCCCTCGCCGTTTCGCCTCTAATTGAGCTAGAGCCTCGCGGTCTCGCGGAAAAAAAAACGAGCTTGTGTGCCGTTATAAGACGCAGCAAGTACTACCCGATTTAAGGTCTTAGGTCAGCCAGTGACCTCTTAGGTCAGGTAAGTGCCACAAGGCACGGGCTCGGTTTTTGGTTAATTACTTTGCCAAAAATGGTCGCACTGCCGCGATTTTGGCATCATCGTGCTTGTCTAGCTCAGGAGCGTCGAATGCTATACTTGGTGTTCGGGTGAAGTCAACTTAAGGCGTTAACCTCGGGTCAAGGTCAGGTCGGAGCCCCTCAGGTCACGAAAATGGTTGAAGGAGGACATATCGCATATCACTCGATTCGGCAGGTCTTCCCGAGTCCAATGGTGGCTTTCCCGACTCTCTAGCTCCATCTGATCAGGAGTTATTGACGAAAAACTTATATGGCCTTAGTGACGTCATAAATGACGTCGCGCAAAGTCAACAATGCTTAAGTGAAGCACCGGACCTTGCAAGGAGTGCATGAAACCATTCCCGGTGCCCGAATAGCAGCTTCCAATTTCCCTTGTTCACTTAAAGTGGTGCTAGATCCTGTATTATACTCAATTGTGACGTCATAACTTAACAGATTCACGTCATATATTTAGTGCTTGACATCCAAATGCTAGCTTACATATGACAGAGAAGGTATGCAAAGTTTTATGAAGTTTGCTTCACTAGTTGTGGAATAACAAGCAAAAAACTTTTGCGGAAGGGCCGCTGGCCTCTCGCTGGAGCGTTTCCGACCAGTGTGCAACCCCTCCGCCCGCTCGCCCCACACTGCGCCGCCGCCGGCCCGTGACTGCGGCCGGTCGGTCACGTGGGGACCGCAGCGACCTCTACGGGGTCGCGACCCTAGCGGCCGGGTACTGCAACATAAAGATGTAAGTACGTTTTAAAAACTTCCCGAGCTGGAATCGAACCAGCGACCCACACCACAGAAGTCCACCACTCTACCAACTGAGCCATCAAGGACTCAAACGTCAATGCTTTGAATAAGCCGTGGTACTCTGCACGGCTTGATGACATGGTCTGGTGCGTATTGCCATAGAGATCTTATATACATAGAGATGACATGCACTTAAAATCGTGGCGATTCAGTGGGTCTTTTTAAGCAACTTATTTTCAGCCAGTAGCGTGCCAATATGGCTGAGGCATTGTTAGTCTGAAGAAATTATTACGTAGCGAGCGAAGCAAGCGTAGTCTTTCGTAGATTAACGGACATTTCTGAGTATGAGCGGCCGGCCGGCCGTGGTTGCGCTTTTGCGAGGCTTATATCTCAGCAACCACTTGACCGATTTACATTCGATGATTTTTCTAGGGTAGCTTCATTCCTTCTACCAAGTATTGGACTATTCTCGATGCATGTGGGTGACCGCTTATGCACGTGCCACGTGCAAAACGAAGAGGTGTCAGTTTTGCAATTGTTGCAATATATTGGTAATTACTTGGCCGATTGCGCTGAAAGTTGGTATGTTGGTAGGCACCCACTAGGCAATGCATATCCATGTGCCACAGCTGGGGTGCTGCTGCACGTGCGCACGTGCAGGGGTCGATTCCAGATCTCGAGAACGGCTGAACCGATTGTGCTGAAATTTGGTACATGGTTAGGGACCAGTTAGTAGGGTGCCGTGCAAAAGTCAGTTGTGACCCATTTTGCACGTGTGCACGTGCAGGGTGCCGCTTCCAGATCTCGAGAACGGCTAGGCCGATTGCGCTCAAATTTGGCACATCGCTAGGGATCGGTTAGTAGGGTGCAGTGCACAAGTTAGTTGGAGGTGTCCCTTGCAAATTCTCTTGTCCAAAGCCCACCCTCTCACTCACTCCGTTGGTCGCCCCAAAAGGCGTTTTACTGGTTAAAAATATTGCTGTTCTTTCCTGGCTGATTTCATTCCTGAGGTAAGCAATGAAATTTGTAGCATGATTTCATTTTGTATTTTTATTGAATTCCTTAAAAGCTCGCCTAAAAACATTCTCTCTCATTCAGGCTCTCATCAACCCGGCAGGCGGTGGACCTCCCGGCCACCTTCCGCGCGGTGGGGGGGGGGGCATTTTTTGCCCCCCTTTCGTATCTCCGAAGCTACTGGACGGATCTGT